GAACGCGCACCGGGTGAGAATAGCCAAAAGACTCGCCTGCACTATTCTCATCCCGGGTGAGAATAGAGGTGGCCTTTGAACGAGACATATGCCTCTATTACGAACCAACGCAGGCAGTTCTAGAAGGCCACAAACGCACACAAACTCAAGCAGACTGACGCACACACTCTTGACCTGCGTGAATGGGGATCCGACTCGGGACCCAAATTTCACGTAAGATGATGTGCGCGTGCGCTGAGCCAGGGGCTACACTGTCGCGGGACCAGAACGAAGGCGGTGTGCCGAAATAGGCTTCGGACGAAATAAACCTGGCCCCCGCAGGACGAGGGCTAAGGAGCTTGTTAGCTATGACAAATGTTCAAACTTTGATCCTTATCCCAAGAATGATGAATAACGTGGTCTTCATCTTCATTTTTGACAATCAAGTGACTTTTGTAACAGCAAGGCTCTGTGCTGTCTCTGACGACTTTTAGAAATCTATGAAGTTAGGCCTACTCTGTTTACATTTTATTTTGTTCAAATTCCAGTCAGACCTCGTTTGTTTATAAAAGTTGTGTAAGGCCACCCTTATAAGGCTACTTTTTAGTCTTGTTTGAAGTTCTACGGATCAAGATTTGCTCACTTGGCTCTGTCCTTTTGTATGAATGTTAGACTCAGAGGTCCTCTTCTGGTAAATTTTTACTTATGCACCCACACACAGATGCATTGATTTGAGGGCTAAACTGCCATAATTTTTGCTGTAGCACACACACGTATGGCCACTAAAAACCTTTCAACTCAATTGTTTTCAAGTACAGTCAAACCTGTGTAAGACGGCCACCCTTTGTCAAGGAGAAAAGTGGCTGTATAAGGCAGATGGCCATCTTAGGCAGGACTGATCAAGATGAAGAAAACAAACCCTTCCCATCTGAAGTCCCAATCGAAAGTAGCCTTTTGTTCTTGTTTTTGTTGTTGTTGGTTTGTATTTTGTTTGTTATTTTTATTTTGTTGCTGATTTTGCGCAAGAGTGACAATAAAACGAAATGTATCAGACGAGGAAGACTGAGTGCCTTGTTAAAACAATAACATGGGTCACCACCACTCGGAGAACAAGCGACGCTTCTGTCACAAGTTCATGTTGATGTCCATTATTACTTTGTTACAGACTGGGTAAACAGTGACCACTCATCTCACGTGCGGTTTGTGTATGAGTTCTGGGCGGGGCTTATGAGGGATCACACGCTTACTTCATCAGCAGCTAAAAATTGGTACCTATTGGTCAACAGTGGGAGGGGCCTACGCAACGTGTTCGGTTGGAGGGACTACCTAACAACAACGACAAGGGATAAGACTATGATGGCTCGCACACAACGCCAGGGGCCAGTGCATAATTTATGATAAAACGTAAAGAAGTCACCTGAGGTGGCCGTCTAAGACAGCTGTTATTGCTTTGTGTGATAGCGGTTGTGTGTTAAAATAATGGTGGCAGCGGCCGCGTTGGACAGGTGCCCGTTTTACACAGTTAAATTATATAGAAAAAACGCTTGGGGGGGAATTGAAAATGGCCGTTTGCACAGGTGGCCGTCAGGGCAGGTTTGACTGTAAATATCAATCCTAATTGCCAAAACATCAAATTATTGTGAAATGCAGGGGGGCATATCCCCCAAATTCTTTTTAGGTCAAGGGGGCATGCCCCTCTGAACCCCCCATGTTGTTAAATTAAAGTCAAGTATTACTATTTTCAAACACCAATAACTCAATAACTATTGATTTGCGGCAAAAATGAAGGCCGTATATTCGTGTTCAGCATGCGAAATACTACTAGAAAAAAAGTATACGTATGAGACGTGTGCGTAAGAAGTAAACAAAAAAAAAAACCCCACTTCTTAACTCTTTATCTCCGAGGGGCCCGTTTTTGGTACTAGATCTAAAAATGACAAAATGGTCTCTAAATTGGTCATTAATTCAAAACGAGTGAACCTATTTCAATAGTTTTTCATCTAATGAATAATCTCGTAAAAGAGACCTGTTTTCTGCAACTGATGAAAAGTTAGGCCTATTTGATGTCGAAGCCATCATAAAGGAATATGTCCGAGCTGCTGTCAGCGGCTTCCCGGCACAGTGGTTTTGACAGCGAGGAGCGGCTTGCCGGAGATAAAGAGTTAAATAACCTCTAACAGCGTTGATAGAGGCGTTAAACCTATACTATACCATTTCACCATTTTCAAGATACATATTATTGTCAAGTTAAAGGGAAAAGATTTTGGTAGAAATTCTACATTACAAAAGTCAATGATGATCAACTGACAATCTTTCAAATCTTCAACCCTAACCGTTACCCTTTTTAAATGAAAATCCAGAAAATATGAATAAAATGTGTAGATTTGGAAGATTTCCAGTCCACTCTTCTTTTAAAGTATTTATTTCATGGTAGTGTCAATTGCCACCGAGTGACGCGGTGACAATTGAAGCCAGCGTCAATTGCAACCAAGTAATTTGGAACTCTTTTGTGTTTGTGAGTAGATCCAGCCTGTATGTGATCTTCCAACGCATGCCTCCTCTTTGCCCCTGTGTTGTGTGGGGGTAGGGTCTCTTTCTCTCTCCCTAACCCCCGTCCTGCGGATTTATGTTTCCCAATATATAAATAAGAAGCATATTTCTGCTTGAGTTGGTGTGCGTTTGTGGCCTACTTCTAGAATTGCCTGTGTTGGTTCTACACTGAAGCATAGGCTAGCCTACGTCTCATTCAAAACACGCCAAGTTGAAGTCGGTAGTCGGTAGCTCTAGATGTTCGTCCAATGAAATTAGAAAACAAATTGGCCCACTTAGACATGAGGAGCTCAAAAGGATAGCCAGGAAACTTATAAGACTTTCATTTTACTCTAAACAAAATCTTTCAAATAAGCTTGAATTTATGCAAAATGATATTCCCTGATAAAAATAAGTTTATAGATAGTTTTGAATACCGTTGTGCAGGTAAAAAGAAGACGAATTTGAGTGCAAAGCATTCGGAAATTGTCCTATACTATTTTCCTTTCGAACCCCAGAATGTGTGTAACTACTCATTATAATGACTTATCAACTTATGCGAGGGAATTAGATCTAGTTCTAACTTATCTATGTGTTCGTAACACATTATGAATAGAAAGCTAAAGATAAAGCATTGTTTTTATACTTGACACCGCGTCACTCAGTGGCAATTGACTCCAGCTTCTATAAAGTCAATTGACGCTACCTTATTTCATAATGACTGATAATTATTAAAATTTATTTTCGCTCTGCTTTTAGTATTAGGGGCTAAACTGTTGTATTTTTGGCTACAGAACCGACATATTTCCACGTAAACTGTCCCAAATCAATTGCTTAATTTGAGCTGTCGTAAAATTGAATCACTTAACTCTTTGTAAGCGCACCCACTTTTTCCTTTCTCGATACCCTGTGACACACCTTCTTTGCCCTTTTTTACCAGGTCATTATTTTTTCTCGTCAACAGAGCAAAAATCACACCTACACCACTCAAAAATACACTTTCTTTATTTTTCTCTAAAACCAATCAATCATACATTCGCAATTCAAGTCTTTACCTTGATCAAGGCTGCAAGATCACTATAGTTACCCTCAAAAGAAAAATTATTTTGACGAGACTTGGGGGTCAGGTAGATCTACCAACCAATGGTACAGATTCATCATCACTTTCATCTGTACTTTCTCTTTCTAACTCTAAATCTAACTCCTCATCAGTGCCATTATCCATAGACAACTCCAAAGCTTCTTCTGTCCGCATCACGCCACATCGCATGGAGCTCACCATTTTGGATAGAAACTGACATTTCTTGCAAAACAATTAGCCTAATACAAACGCTGTGCAAAGCTATCCTAATTCGAAAGCAAATTGAGGGAGTCTTCCAAATTGTAGGGCTTTGGACCAGCTTTCCAATGATATAGGGGTTGCCACGTTAGACCCCTAGTTTAGTAAATAAGCACGTTTAAAATTTGTCAGAGGAGTATGGAATGACGCGTCTTCAAATTAAACTGTCAAAATTGTTTCACTTAAACTGTTGTATTTGAAGTCCGTATATTACAGAAAATACAGATAAATGTCCACGGAGGACTAACAGCAGTTGTGTTTGAATGGGGAGTGTTGTTACCAGATAAACTACACCCTGAAGAAAATGATCAAATTCTAATGTTATATAATACAGTAGTCTCCGCCTAAGATCCCGGTGCTTGGGAGCAAGGAAATGCGGGATCTTAGGCGAACCGGGATCTTAACCAATGAACCCAGGGAAGAATCTATGGTGACCCATGTTAAGGCTCACAATCGGTAAAATGGTCTCCCTCCACTCTACAATGAACTGACGTGACCGCTTGGTGGGTTTATAACGTATGGCGAGCAAAGAGTGGTTAACCTTGATGACCTATCACGGTGCATAGTGGGATGTGGCGTGCCATTTTCACTTATTATCCTATCATGAGTCTCAAGATCTATGCTTATCCAGTTGCCCCTCCTCTTTACCTGTCAAAAATTTATAGCTTTCCATCTCTGACCGAGTCCCCCCCCCCCCCCCCCTTTCCAAACCACCTTTGTCGTTACACACCATTACGTTGTGAACGCACCAATTAAAATTCAGTCTGTCTCGAAAATTCGGGAGTAGAGACAACTGCTGCAATGGTCAAGGAAGAGTTCACGGTTCAGTGTGATCCTGCCTGGGGCGAACGTGTAGGCCCTACCCACCCAGCGAGTGATGCAAGTTTAGGTGACGAGCTCAGGTGTGAGTGCAATGCGTGGGGAAAACAAACGCGTCGGTCAGTTCACACCCCGCTGTGATCCCGTCTGGGGCAAACATTGTATCGCTTCATCGAGTTTTACAACGTGTATGTGATCACATTCACGATAGTGGTTGATCTTTGACGTGACGGACAGTTTATTGATCTCAACTTTTCACTCTAGGTTGATCGGCTGTCCTACCCGTTTTTTTTTTTAGCAAATTATGATCTGAAATGCGGGATCTTAGCCGAATGAAGACCATCAGAGGGGGATCTAAGGGGTGACTTTTGTATAGTAAAAATTCTGTTTTCCTAAAACAACGGGATCTTAAGCGAACCGGGATCGTAAGCGGTGGGATCTTAGGCGGAGACTACTGTATGTGAATTAAAAGTGAAAAAATCTCTAGGTTTAGGAATCATACGATAGTACAAACGGAATAGAAATTTGTCTTCAAATGAATATGATTTACCCATCTAGGTATTTATGCTATTGTGGGGGTCGAATTTTTAAGTGTATTGTAGTTTTGACATCTTTTTCACTTTAGTCAGCAGTTTTCGCAAAAAAAAAGATATATCAGCAAATTTGCAGGAGAACACCTAGCTCAATCTTCTGTTAAAAACTTGGAGTGAAATCAGGAATACTATATTCAGACTCATGAACAGAAATGAATGATTAAAACATAATGGTTTCATATATACAGTAAAACATGACTATAGCGGCACCCGCTACAATGGGACCTTAACGGAATCCCCCTTTTTTTCTCTGTATAAACTCAAATTACCTGTGCTCGGGTTTAGCGGGGCAAGGAAAGGCCTTAACTCGGATACAGCGGGAGAGGTCAAGCGAGCTGTAGCTGGGGGGAAGGGGGTGGGGGGGGCTGTAGGCGGGATCCAAACTGGCAGTCAGCGGTGTGGCTTTGTTGTTGGCCAGTCCAGTGATGAGTGAAGTGGAGCAGGCGGCAGGGAGAGATAGTGCGAAGGGGCGTGTTGCGTGAGCCACTCCAAAAGTGATGTGCCATAGGCTAGCCTGGATGCTCAATAAGAGCCCTAGGCCTGGGCTTGGACAAAAAGTAAACGAAGAGGAGAGCGTGTAGTGTGTGATTCCTGATTCATTGAATTGCGATAGCTGTTCTACTGTACGCCTACCGGAACGATAGACAGCGCAAGCAACAAGACTGAGGAAAAGGTCGCTTCCAACAAAGACAAAAGGAAATGCTTCTCTCTCGAATGAAAGGCTGAGATAATCAGCGAAACTGACAAGAAAAGGGAGACTAACTTTATTAATTTGGAAGGGAGGTAATCAATTTGATTTTTAGACTTTTTCTGTAATTCCCCTTTGCATTCCTGGGAACTCACTTACAGCAGAATTTTTCTTCTCAAACAAAAGTCCCGCTATAGCCGTGTTCTACTGTAAACAGTTTTTAAAAATGGTTTTTATTTTTCTTTCTCTCCAACAGTGCTCAAAGCAGGTTGACTGGCAAGTCAACATGTCTGATTTTGTGGACAATGAAGCAGAGGAATCTGACTTGTCTTCAGAGGAAGGCGAACTCTCAGATGGAGAACTTCGTCCAGTGAAAAAAGGAAAGAAAGAGAAAGAGAAACCTAAAAAGAAGAAGGCAATACAAATATCTGATGATGAGGAAGAAGAGGATGAAGGTGTGATGGGTATAATATGTCTAAAATCTTCCTATCGATTTTTGCCCGGCTGCTGGTTTCTTTCTCTCTGTGTTCCCCCCTCCCCCCACCCCTACCCATAACACCCTGAAAACTGGCAGTATGCTGTATTTTTTTTGTAAATTCACTGTTTGGATAATTATGTTGAACTAGCAAGGCCCCCTTTTGATGAAAGGAATGATCAGTGCATTAACATCAACTGAAAGTATTTGGCCTACTATATTTACACTCTACTGGAATATCTTGAGATATGCAAAAAATTCAAAGGTCTAGATCTATGCTCTAAAAACAAAATGCGCCTCGCGAAATATCACTTCCGCTGTGAAGGACAGCTACGCAGATTTGTTTCGTTTTCAGTGGAATAGTATTTTAAAGTTGATAAAACATTGATGTCCATGTTCTACCATTCAACCATAGAAAGTATTATCAATTTTTGTATAACAGCATGGGCCGGGAACACAAGACAACAAGATAAAAGAAAAATTAAATCGACTAATACGGAAAGCATGTAAAATTTCAACGTCTTCATTCCCCTACTTGGATGAATTGTACATAACAGCTTGCACTAAGAAAATTAATTCCATCTTTTTAGACAACAAACATCCCTTGTTCCCTCAAATAAAAACATCAGTCAGAAGTAAAAGACCCATGCTTCTGATCTGTAACAAAGAAAGATACAGAAGGTCATTTTTACCATCATCTATCAAAATGCTTCCATCGTAACCATCTATCTTGTTTAGTGTACTTACGACCTTAGAGCATGCATCAAAATAACATTGAGTGTGTATCAAGCTTACGATTATTATTCTTTATATTGCTGCTCATTTATATTATGTATGTGATTGTAAGCCTACTTGTGTGTGCATGTGCGTGCACGTGTGTACGTGTGTGTGTTTGTGTGTGTGTGCACGTGTGTGTGTGTGTGTACTCGTGGTGGAACACCAAACCAATGTGCCAGGATCTGGACAATAAAGATGTATCTTATCTTATCTTATAACCACAAAGGCCAAAGGAGGACGGAAACTTTTTGTCACAAATATATTTTTCTAAATTCCGGAAATGAGTAAATAAAAAATCTGGCTCCGTCATGGGGACCTATCTATCTTTTTGCAGGTACTTGCCAACTTTCAACTCTGTAGCTGTCGTAGTTTTATGGGAAAAGTGACAATTGTGTTTCCAAGTTGCCAAATATATAATAGATGTATAGATTGACTCTCTATTCCGCTTTCTTGGTTGTACACTCCAGAATTTCAAAGGTGTGCGGGGCTAGTGAACGGAAACCTCACTTGTTTACAATGGAGTCTTAGAAGGGGGACTTTCCCAAGATTAGATCTAAATTAACTAATGAAATACTGAAAATTAAACCATAGTGACTTCAGGCTCCTCAGTAAAACTGTGCACTGTTTAAATGATTCTGAACCACCATTGATTTTGTCAAATTCGAAAGTTAAGGGGTTTGAAAGTTTTAGGCGGCCAAAGTGACAGACTTTCACTAATATATATAGAGATATAAAGGGTAATAACATGAGGTTTTCATTCTTTCATTTGTCTTAGCCTAATTTTTGAGCTTGATGGTCTGAATATAGGCATATATGAGACTTGGTTTTTCCTGTAAAAATGAGAGTTGCATCAACAACTTTGTCATAAACAGTGATATGGTACCACTGTTATAAGAATGGGAATTTGATAAATGAGTTGGGTTTTTTTGGTTTTACTATGGCATTAAAAATGTTCCCATTGTAAATAACAAAATCAAGGAGGTTTCTAAGAAAAATTTGTTCTTGGGTTTATATACAGACGAAGCTGCCATTGCTGAAGAAATGAAAGATTTCATCAATGAAGATGTGGAAGAAGACGCGGAGGAAGAAGAGGAAGGAGAAGGGAGTGACCAAGACGAAAAGAAGAGGAAAAAGCATCATCGTTCTGACGACGAGGACGACGACCAGCTGGATGATGAGGACTTTGATTTGATTGACGATAACCTGGGCATCAAAATCAACAGGAAGGTTTGTTGATTATCATAGTTTGAGTTTGTCACCCATAGCTGCTCAGCCTGTTCTGTCCCATTTGTATGACCATCTTGTTGACATGCTCTGATCTGAGCAGAGTTTGATATTTTCAAACCAAAGAGTTCTGAAAGTATTAGTTTTTTGTTTTAGTAGAGGGTTTTACGGCGCTCGCAACTGCATAAGGTCATATGAGCGCCAGAAGATTAGAGGTGTTACAAGAGAGTAACAGACATAAAAAAGAAGAAGAGGAGATAAGGACGATAGATGTTCGATGGAAAGAAGAAGCAAACCACACCAGAGCACCCACCAACCACCCACCCTGAAAGTATGCTGTTTTGTTATTGCTTTATATTCTGTGGTTTATTTCATGAGTTATAAACATAATTTAGGGGGGGGAGAAAACTAAAGTTGGTATATTATTTAGTCTTCTTAGTGCTGAAAAGAGTTTTTTTTTATTTGCATGAAGTGTTTTGTGAGACAATATCAGTTTCATGGGGTTGAGATTTTACACAACAGAGCAAGATTTTTTTATGCCAGTGTGAGTTAGTTTGATTGACATTTTTCATGATGAAGAAGAAAGTCAAAATGTTAACATCTCGATTTTACTTTGGTTCTCTCAAGTATGAAAGAACCAAGCTTTAAATAAAAAGCAAAATTGCTGTTTGTTTTCAATACTCTCCCATTTCCTGTGGTGGCCTGGAAGCCAGATGAAACAGATTTTTTAAAATTACTGTTCGAAGGATACAGGCGTCTTGAATGAAAATATAATTGTTTTTGTTGATTCTGGAGGGGTGGGGTTGAATTCCATGAGTTATGGAGATCGTATTTGGATTTGTTCATTTATGAAAGATTGAGATTGAGACGATACTCATTTGCAACAGAAATGTGTGCTTTTACTATACTATTGAAAGTGTTGGGAGAAAAATAATTTGATAAACCTAATTAACTTCATACATGTTCTGTATATTTCATTTCATTCCCACCATGCTGCATGCAAGCAGATGGCTGTGAGTATTTGGACTGACCTGTCATGCCGTTACTGATTTGGATGTTCCGGTTATTATATTACCCAGTAAAGAAAGTTTACAACAATAATAAGTTCGTCTGGGAGCGTAAGAGATTCTTGAAACTCTTTTTTCAATGGAAAAATTTAACAAGAGATAATCACTTTGTACAGCAGTAATAAGTAAAGCATATCTGTATTGAGTGCCCCATGCATCAAGATTGATTTTGATCACATGCTTTTGGGCTCATAATATGATTTTATATATTTATGCAGCTATATTTTTAGTTTTATGACGTTAGCTTTTGTATACTTGTGCACAATTTTCGATGGAATGTGGGAAGGGAGGGGGGGGGGGGGGAGGCTGTAGGTTTGTGACCTCATCGGTTTACTGTATTAAAAAACCCTTTTTTTTTTTTTTGTTTCATGTGTCCCATTTACCTCTTGTCACTGTGTACTGTTCTACATCTCTGAGGCTGCATATATTATGTCATTTTTTGAGGGTTTTAAAAAAGTATTTATTCTGACCTGAGTTTTCTCAGCTAAAAATAGAAGTTGATTTTAAACGTATTAATTTTTCTGTGGCAGTCAGTTTATATATATGCTCTTCTCTGACATGTTATCGCAAATATGTGTTTTGTGCTCTTATAGAGGACCTTGGTGTGTTGTCTGAGAAAACTAGGTAGTAGAGACAACCTGCACTGTAATAAAGGGAGTGTAAGACTTGCAAAGTTATCTATTAGACGCTTGTCAGAAATCTGTCCCGTTTTGGGGTTTTGAAGGGTGAACACTTTTTTTTTCCAGCAGATTTTCCTTCTTAAAATGGATTTACTGTTCCAAAATCTTAAATATTGAATTATATTTGGATTGAAAGGCTATTTTTTTAATGATATTGAGAGGGTGAGTTTGATATTAATTTCCTTGACTTGCTTGTGTGCGAAGATTTCCTTCCACTTGTAGAAATCATGGTAACAGAGTTGAAGGCATTTTGAGAGTAATAGGTACTCTTAGTACTTGGCTGGTTCGGTGATGGTTTGAAACATGCCTTGACTTTGGTGGGGGGGGGGATAGTATTCTCTGGGGATTTCTTGAGATGCTTTATTTCCTTACATCTGTAGGTTTAATCATCATTGTCCAATATTTTTACGCTGATCTTGTTGATCGTGTAAAGCCCTCATAATAGTAGCCTTGTTTGGTTCCCCTGTGAAAGACTTGTGTGGGAGATGCAAGATCCTTTACTTTGAGTAATACCTTTTGGGTTTAATAGGGTAGTGTGTATGTTTGAGAACTAGAAGACAGATTACAAGACTTGAAGACCGCACCCTGGCCTTGATGCGTGTTGTCCAGGATCAGTTGCCTTTTTGGAGAAGTCGGGTCTTTTGTTTCTTACTTAACTTTTGAGTATGTTTTTGTTGTCCTTTTTTTTCTTCAGCATAAGAGAAAGAGAATCAAGATGATGTCAGACGATGAAGACAGTGACAAGGAAGAGGATGGACAAGCTGATGATGGTAATGCTGTTTGTACCCTTTACAAGTGCATTATTGTGTAATTGTGGTGTTTGGTATACAGTAGTCTCCGCCTAAGATCTCGGTGCTTGGGAGCAAGGAAATGCGGGATCTTAGGCGAACCGGGATCTTAACTGACGAACCCAGGGAAGAATCTATGGTGACCCATGTTAAGGCTCACAATCGGTGAAATGGTCTCCCTCCACTCTACAATGAACTGACCCCCTTGGTGGGTTTGATGGCATAAGGGGAGCAAAGAGTGGTTAACGTTGATGACCTATCACTGTGCATAGTGGCATGAGGCGTGCCATTTTCACTTATTATCCTATCATGAGTCTCAAGATCTACGCTTATCCAGTTGCCCCTCCTCTTTACCTGTCAAAAATGTATAGCTTTCCGTCTCTGACCGAGTCCCCCCCCCCCAAACCGCCTTTGTCGTTACACACCATTACGGTGTGAACGCACCAATTAGCAAATTCGGGAGAAGAGACAACTGCTGCAATGGTCAAGGAAGAGTTCACGGCTCAATGTGATTCGCCTGGAGCGATCGTGTAGGCCCTACCCACCCAGCGAGTGATGCAAGTTTAGGTGGCGAGCTCAGGTGTGGGTGCGGTGCGTCGGGAATACAAACGCGTCGGTCAGTTCACACCCCGGTGTGATCCCGTCTGGGGCAAACATTGTATAGCTTCATCAAGTTTTACAACGTGTATGTGATCACATTCACGATAGTGGCTGATCTTTGACGCGACGGACAGTTTATTGATCTCAACGTTTCACTCTTGGTTGATCGGCTGTGCCCGCCCGAGTTTTTGTTTCGCAAATTATGATCTGAAAAGCGGGATCTTAGCCGAATGTAGACCATCAGACCGGGATCTTAGGGGTGACTTTTGTATAGTAAAAATTCTGTTTTCCTAAAACAACGGGATCTTAAGCGAACCGGGATCGTAAGCGGTGGGATCTTAGGCGGAGACTACTGTATTAAAAACGGTACATTTTCAAATTAAGGATTGTTGAAAACAATGCTTTATTACAACTGTGACCGTAATGAGTATACTGTTCATATCTAGACTGGGTGCAGAAGTTTTATTAAGTATATTTTCTTGGGTTTTTTTTAAAGTGCACACGACTTTGATTTCTTTTACATACATGAAATGAAGATCACTGATTGTTTTTCCCTTTCTCGCAGGCAAACACGCCATAGAAGAACAGTTGTTTGATGAAGATGACGCGGAGGATGGAGAGGGGCCTGCTGCATCAGTGCGGGATGAACAAGAGGTCACGCAACCGCAAGATTTTGACTCGGAGGAGGAATCCGGTGAGCCCATCGAGAGGGGGAAAGTGTTGCATAAATTGTTTCCTCTCTTGAATATGTTTTAAAAGTCATTGTTTTGTCGTTTTCTGAGATTGTGCGCCCTTTTCCTCTTATGTCAGCATTCTCCTCCATAAGATGCTTCACTCTTGTTGCTTGTCTCATTTGTGAGATTGTTCACAGTCGTTTGAACTTGCAGGATATAATGTGAAGTGAAGGGGTTCGTGGTGGTTTGATGGTGAAGGAGTGTGATAAGTGAGATGGTTCGCACTAGTTTTATTTACATGGGTGTATATGTTTTGTTATTGTAAGGGTTGTTTTGGTACTTGCATAAAAAAAAATAAAAGGACTCTTTGTTAAATGTCAGGGTTGTTCTGTTACTTATAGAGAAAAAGGCAAAGACTTTTTGTTAAATTTTCTTGCTTCTCTCTTTTTTTTCCCTTCCTTCTCGAAGATGTGGATGATTTCATCGTGGACGAGGAAGGCAATTCTATCAGTAAAGGCAAGAAGAAGAAGAAGCACAAGATCCACAGCGATGCGTAAGTTCTCATTTTTTTTGCAATGTGTATGAGAGCTTTGTTTTGGCTAGTTGAACCTATAAATGCATGACCTCTTAATAAAAATTTGGCCATAACATACCTTTGGATACCAAATAAAAGGATTCATGGTTAAAAAAATGTATTTCTTGGTTGATACATGGTGCATGTTCAGAAAATGAAAAAATTGTTACTTCTTTTTTCTTTTTCAAATCTTTCGTTTAAGATTCTGTTTTTAGGTTGGTGAGCCTTACTCTGTGCTGAGTGAACTCATACTTCAGTCTGCTTATATCGTGTTGTGAATGATTCCTTATATTGACAGTGCTCTTCAAGAGGCACAGGAAATCTTTGGTGTTGATTTTGACTTTGCTGAATTTGACAAGTATGATGAAGACGAGGAGGACTTTGAGGAAGAAGATGAGGTATGTGAACTGTCTGTTCTCATTGTGTGAAGTGGTTACATCCAGGTTTTCTTTTAAGTATGTTTGATTGTGATGAGTCATATGATAATATAAATAATCGTTGTAAGAGATTTTCAACAAATGTGAATTTTAATTCTTTTCCACACCTTTCACTTCAGTGAATTTTAAAGATTTCGCACATTTTTGCATTATGTGGTCATGGCTATCAGTGTGTTACCTGTCATTGAACTTACATTTATAATCTTTCTTTCATGTGTTAGTTTGCAAAGGAACACATACACACCCAGACTTCTGAGCTCAAGATTCTTCTGCTTTGTTTCTCTTTTAGAGTTCACGGGATTTATTTGTGTCAATTGTTTTTTCATTTTCTTATTCACAGTATGAGGAGGATGAGGAGGGAGAAGATGGCGAGACTCGACGTTCAAAGAAAGGCAAAAAGAAGGCGACAAAGAAAAGCATTTTTGATGTAAGCTTGATTCGTTTTGCTTTCCATTGATAACATGTTTCCATATAGGTCATTTTGTTGTCTTTTATTCATAGTTCATCACCTAAAATAAAAAAGTATTTTCATTGGTGTTTGACAGTAATGTGAGTGATTCTGTTACAGATTACAAATGTCTCCAATTATTAATGGCTAGAATTGTTTCCTCTTTATTTCTGCTCTTTAAAAGAATAACATTAAAGATAATGTTGGAGATGTGTTTAATTTGCAAAGGACATTATCTTTTGAGGACTTTATGTTGACTCGGTGAGTATGTAACGTTTTCTTTATCTATGATTTCTAAAGATTCAGAATTTCCATTTTTATTTATATTTGATTGGTTGATTTATTTGTTGTTGTTACTGTGGAGAGCACATTTATTTTGACTCTACTGTCTTTTATTTAAAGGTTTTTGAGCCCAGCGAGTTGGAGACGGGGCATTTCACAGACGCTGACAATGTTATCCGTTCGGCAGATCTCCCAGAAAGATTTCAGGTTGGTTATGCAGTCTCTTCTCCAAACTAGGTCTTATTCTCCTCTATATCTTCATAATTTTTGCTATTATATAGTGGAGGGGGGGGAAGGGGTTGTTGCTGCTGTTTTTTAGCTACTTAACTTTCTTTCATGTATTTAAAAAAAATGTTTTTGCCAAGTCTGTATGTTCATAAGCTTGATTTGGTATATTGCTGTGTGATCCATAAATACACATTCATTGGAAATTGCTATTATTTTCACCTGATTTATTGAAATCTTATTGGAGGATTTACCACTGGTATGTCCAACTTCTTCTCTTTGTATTTGTTGTTTCTGTCCATCTTGCTCTTTGCCTGTTCTTCTGTCAGTGTGCTTCTCTTTACTCAAAGCTCAGGTATGCCTTTGTACTCTTTCTTTCATCAGTTATTCCTTTCAATTTACAATTTTCAGTTAAGACGTGTTCCTGTGAAGTCAGCTGCTGATGCAGAACTTGAAGAAGAAGCAAAATGGATTTACAAGCAAGCCTTTGCCACACCTTGTATTTCGCAGCAGGTAATGGCCTTCTTGTTCACTTACTGTTTATTTGTGATTACGCTTTGAAAAATTCGTTGGAAGTTTGCTGATGTGTTTAATTAGTAGCTGTAGCTGCAGCTGTTCAGTTTTTATTGTTGCAAACTCCTTTGTCCTGTTATGACTCTGTGTCTTTTCATCTATTTGTCCGGCTATTCTTCCCTAGAATTGATTTTATATTACAAAAGGGTCTTCTAAAAAAACAAAAACAAACAAGAAACAACCAAGTTCTGTGATGCGGTACATTTTATACTCAAAGTGTTCACCCAGCACAGTGTTGCCTTTGGTTGACTAAATGTTAATTTTTTTCCTGTCTTCGGGGATCTTCATGTTAGTTAGCTGCGATCTATCCAAGGCCATTAATACCGTTGTATCATTTGATAAAAATTAGGGTGTTTTTTGTTTGTTTTTTTTGCATAGGTGCTATAAAGTTTGTGTGTCTGTTTATGGGTTTTTATAACACTGTACTGGTCTGTTCCTGTTTAGTCCTACCTGGACATGGACCACATGGGCGCCACCAACAACTTCAGCCGCCGCGCTCCCAACATGATGACCAGCAAGATCAAGCAGGCTCTTGATTTCATGCGCAACCAGGGCTTAGAGGTATTGTTTTAGTAAGGTTTTACGGCACTCGCAACTGCATACGGTCATATGAGCACCAAGAGGTGGATGTCAACAGAAAAGTCCATAAGGGGAATCAGGTTTACTCTGCTCACTTCTCTAGCCTCAACAGCTCAAAGTCTGCTTCGACTATCAAGACACCCCCGAAATAGCAGTTCACAAGAGAGTGACAAACATGCAAGAGAAGTAGAGGAAAATGACAATAGTAAAGATGAGGAAAGAAAAAGTAGCAGTTCCCCCCATGTTGTTCCGGCATTGTATGAGCATGACATTGATAAATCAGCCCATTTACAATTCTACTGTGCATAAGAACATGTTAATATCCCCCCTTTGGGAATGGCCTAAAGACATTTTTTTTCAGTCAATAGCACTGCTCTGGGGGCTTAGAGGTATGGGGACATGCAGTATAGCAAGAGTTAAAGATTGAAGTGTGATTTGACTGACGTATAATGAAAGAAATCTTTACTTAAGTATTCAAATTTTTAATTTTCACATTAAAAAAGATACACTAAATGCTAAATGTAGTGTGCAAACGACCTGTCACTTGAGCAACCTTTGAATGCATGAAACTTAACTATTTTTAGAGTGATGTTCTAATTTTTAAATATTATTTTGAGACTCATTTTTCATGTCACTATTACTGGTCTGCAATGAGTCCAAAACATTCTTTTTTTCCTTTTAAAGTTTATTAACAATCATCTATTTTTAAAATTGATTTTTACTTTTTGGTCAGTACATTAATCTGTGGTGATTCTTTCTTCACAAATTGTTATTTTCAATATATTGACATGGGAAGTGTATGGCACATGCTCAGAAGCCCAGTTTATCAATGCATTGGAAGTTTCTCTGGGAAACTTGATTGTATTCTGTCTTGTGTTAATTGGTAGTTTTGAGTTCCTGATGGTCTTTTGTTGATTTTTACCGTCTCTTTGTCATTGTGAATTTAATTGCTGTTTTATTTTCTTTCTTTATAGCCTGTGATCCCTTTGTTCCACAGGTTCCGTTCATTGCTTTCTACCGTAAAGAATATGTGGAACCAGAGCTGAACATAAATGACTTGTGGAGAGTCTACCATTGGGATGAAAAGGTAGTTTTTGTTGTACATTTTGTTAGCATTGTTGCAGTATGTGTTGATGGAACATCAGGGTTCCACGAAGAACACAACTAGTGAGAAGTTAATGTTTTGGTGTCTAAAAAAAAGGCCAAAAAAGAAAGCCCCAAACCGCACAGAGTTTATCAAGGATTTGTCTTCATCTTGAAGTAGTTCAACTTTAAATGTCCACGACTGCCTTCTTTGTCATTCGTGGTTATCATGGTGATCTCTCAATTTCAGTTTAGACCACTTCCTATACAGCAAAAGGAAACGGCTTCAAGAAGTATTGTATTCTACTCATGGCTTTGGGTCAAATGCGTTATTTCCAAAGGTTTTTGGACACACTGACAAACATTTTCAGTGATTTTCTTTTTATAGTAAGAGAGTATGTGTCAAGTGGACTTGTTAAAAGAATTTATAACAATAGTGACTACAATAATAATAGTTGCATTTATATAGTACTCTTCCATGCTTAACAGCATGCTCTATGCACATTATAAACATTTCTGGCTTGGAGGTAGGAGTAGAATGACAATGTAAGGAATTGTGTAATATCTTTTTCCACGGGGAGTTATTTGAAAGGGCGTTCTATAATGTACTCATTTTTGTTATGTCTACCAGTGGATGCAGCTTTGCACTCGTCGCAGCAACCTGACTCGTCTCCACGAGAAGATGAAGGATTATCTGTACGAGCAGTACTCCGACCCGGACAAACCCGCTGTTCTCTTCAGACCCATCTCTGAGGAAGAGATTGAAAGGTGACTTAATTATGTCCTTTTTTAATGTAGAAACATGCACGTTTTCATTCTTGATTGAAATATCAGATAAACGCCAGGAGGAACCTTCAATTTTCTGTATGTGTTGTTCAACGATTAAGAGATAACCTTACTTACATGTTAGCATTTTGTTGTTTAGGAATGACATAATTCAACGTATTGAATCAAGTTTTAGGACAGCTCGACTCAAGATTTGTGTATGGTTCTTTAGAAGTATTTTGTTGATTCTGTGAGGAGTGCACTGTCAGAGTTGAATGTAATGGTTTTCAAAATCGAGTCTTTTATTTGATGGGTGGTTGGCATATGCTCTAGTTTGGTTTGCTCCTTCTTTCCTATCCAACATCTATCGTCCTAATCTCTCCTTGTTCTCTTTTGTGTTTGTTACTATCTTGTAATATCTTTTATCTTTGGCGCTTATATGATCTAGTTGAGTTGCAAGTGTTCTACAACTTACTGAAACAAAAAAAAAAAAATTTAATGGTTGTTATGCCTCAGTTGCTAATCGTGTCCGCCATGGTATACCCAGAGTGGGTGGTTGGCGGGTGCTCTGGTGTGGTTTGCTTCTTCTTTCCAATCAAACATCTATCGTCCTTATCTCCCCTTCTTCTTTTTTATGTTTGTGACTCTCTTGTAACACCTCTAATCTTCTGGCTCTCATATGCATATGTGGGGGTCGTAAAACCTCTACTAAAAAAAAAGTATACCCAAAGTTCTCCTAGAAATCAATAAAATGGATTTTTTTATTTTCTCAGGGTGAAGAATGTTCAGACTCCGGAGGAGCTCCGAGATGTCTACCAGAACTTTCTGCTTTACTATGGCCACGAGATTCCCAACATGCGCAACAATGAACAGAACCAGCCCAGGGAAGAGGGCGAAGCTGAACGCGAGCCTAAGGCGAAGGGCAACTCTGTGAAGCAGGCCAGTAGACGCAGTGGCTACTCCATCTGCCTTGGTGCCAAGTTGGGTAAGTTTGATGACTGGTGATGTTTGGAATGGGTTTTTGTCTTTGTGAGTTGTTTTAACTGGGGATCTACCCATTGCAAAATCTACGTCTTTCCTGGTGTCTTATGTGTGTCATGTTTATGCTCCGCCATGGCTTTTTGTTCTGTGTCAGTGTGAAAGAAAGCACATTAATAAGAACAAAAAAGTGGATGGGTGGTTGGCTGGTGCTCTGGTGCAGTTTTCTCCTTTTTTTCCCTAATAGACATCTATCATCCTTCTTTTTTGTGTTTGTTAATCTCTTATAACCCCTCTAATTTTCAGTACTTTTATGACGTAGTCTGTCCATGAGTTGATTTAGTGTAATTGATGGTTAAATGCTTATTGTCATGTATTCCCTGAAGACTCATGATTTCACAATAATTGTTAAGCAGATCTGTTTATTCCAAAATACTGTTTTGGTCCCCCATTAGGGACTTACATTGCTGCTTTTGATGTGTAATCACCTTCCATTTTACAACAGAGCTGGAAATGAAATTAGGAATTATTTATTGCTATTCTTGACGCTTTACCACTCTACAAGGACTAGTATGGTCTGATGTGGTAAGCTTTGTGGATACTGAATCTTATTGCAGTTTTACTTACTTTTATTTCTCTTGTGGTGGTCTCCGGATGTAATTATTTTCCTGTTTCGTCATTAACCTCATGAATTGGGTAAACTTTGTGGAAACAGTTTTTCTTGCAGTTGTACTTTTTGTCTTTCCCCTGAAGTGGTTTACATTTGAAATCACTTTCAGTATCGCCTCAAGCCAAGTGTATTTAGTAAACTTTGTGAAGACATTCAAAATAGTTATTGCAGTTGCACTTACTTTCTTTCTCTTGTGGTGGTTTACAGATGAAATCACTCGCCAGTTCGGTCTTAAGCCGCATGAGTTTGGCGAGAACATCCGCGACAACTACCAGCGTCATGACGTCAGTCAGTGTCCCCTGGAGCCCCTGGAGCTGGCTAAGGATTATGTGTGCCCGTGAGTCATCATCGCTATCATTATCATCATCTTCATCATCATTGGTGGGTGGTTGGTGGGTGCTCTGGTGTGGTTTGCTCCTTCTTTCCTGTCAAACATCTATCATCCTTATCTTTCCTTTTTTTGTGTAAGTTTCTCTCTTGTAACACATTTATTCTTCGACACTTATATGACCTTTTTGAGTTGCAAGTGCCGTAAAACACTTACTTAAACTAAAACATCATCATTTGCTGCCTTTCTCACCCTGCTATAGGGTATAAGCCTTGAACGAACACTTTCCACCTTTCCCTATCCTGAGTTAGCCTCTTGATATTATTTCTGTCTTATCACTTTTCTGTACGTCATTCTCTGTGACATTCTAGGACTTCATCCAGAGAGACTTGTTAGGTGGCGGAGGTTTCGGGTCAGGAGAGTCCTTTCATGGGTCATTGCTGCCAAATTCAGTCTTATGCTTGTATGCTGTATCTCACATGTGTTTCCACTGTTGGCTTGGTGGGCACCATGGTGTAGTTTACTTCTTCTGGTGATTTATTGTGTCGCTATTGTCCCCGTCTGTTTGTTCCTGGCAAAATGTAGCCATTGTTATGTTTACGCGCTATCCTGCTTTGAAATGTGTCTTGTTTACAATGGAATGAAAGCTTTGTACTTCTCCATTTGCCTACTAACAGTAAACTATGAATGCTGTTGTATTAATTTTTGTACCAACTTAGTATGGTCAGTAGTCATTTATTATACTTGTATCAATACGGAAAGCTAAGGTTTGAATTTCTTCCACGCTTGGAATGGTTGGGTATCAGGGTTTTTGACAGGTTTTCATAGCTCAGCAGTCTGTTTTGAACTAGACATACTTTAACTTCTAACATGTGTAACATAAATTTGATGTGATAAAAATAATTTTCACTTTCATTCTTTGAATGTTTATATTCTCAGGAAATTACCTCAGAAATTGTATTGTAGGGCAGGCAAGAAGCGTTTCACTTTTGTTCTCTGAATGTTTGTATTTTCAGCCGATTCCCTCAGAAATTGTATAGTTGGCAGGCAAGAGTGGGTGGTTGGTGGGTGCTCTGGTGTGGTTTACTCCTTGTTTCCTATCAAACAACTATCGTCTTTATCTCCTCCTTCTTTTTTATGTTTGATACTGTCTTGTAACACCTCTAATCTTCAGCACTTATATTATGGCCTTATTAAGTGCCGTAAAACGCTTACTAAAACAAAAACAAAAAAGGCAAGCAAGAAGCATTTTCACTTTTTCTCTCTAAATATTTGTATTTTCAGCCAATTCCCAAGTGAGGAGGACGTCCTAAAGGGCTGTCAGCACATGGTGGCCATGCAGCTGTCGCAGGACCCCCTGGTGCGGCAGAGCGTGCGCACCGCATTTCAGGAAAGGGCAAAGATCCGGGTGCAGTCCACAAAGAAAGGCCTGAAGGTGAGTGGTTTTGCTGGCAACTGTGATTAACTTTAGGACTGCTGAAATCATCCCTCTTATCGATAAGATGCTTGCATGGAGTTTTATAGGTTTATGCTTTCGGCAGTCGTTTCCAGAAATTAGATGTGTTTTTTCTTAAAACGTAAGTGAATAGGCTTGTTAACAGAACTTAAAAGTCCAATGCTAATAAGCTTTTCTTTAATTGTTGTCCAATCAGGCTTCTTGGGAATGTTTTCTTTTGTGGCCTTTATTTTTGGGGGGTTTTTGTTATTTTTACTACCATGGCAATTCCTAGGCTCTAAAATTGTAATTGTGCTCTCTTTTTCAGAAGGTTTAAAGATGTGTTTTTTTGTTTTATTAAAAGTTTTATGACACAGGAACACAAATAGGTCATATAAGTGGTTAATATTAGAGGTTGATGGTTTATTTATTCATGATGAAAATGTTATTTGTGATTTTTGATGGCGAGTGTCTTTGTACTTCTCCAGGTGATTGACGAAAGCCACAATTGTTTTACTGTGAAGTACCTGAGAGGGAAGCCGGTGAAAGATCTCAAAGATGACCAGTATCTCAAGCTGAACAATGTGAGTTGTTTATACTTGTGACGCTGTCTTGTTATGTGTTCGTTTATGAACAATGATTTTATTGGGTCCTGTTTTTGTGAAAGTAAATTGTATTTTTTTTTTTCGCTTCATGGTACACACAGACTGTGGCTAGTGGCTTATTTTACTGCATGTTCATTCTGGTGCTGCTGTTATTAACATGTTGGTTGGGTTTTAGGGTATCCCTTTGAGCTTGAGATAAAGTCTGACAAAGGGATAGACAAAAATAAAAGAAGTGGTCTGTTTATCTGTCAGACTTATTCTCATGCTTTAAATGATGGCTATTGTGTTGATGTACTTATTTTTCTTTTTACTTAAACAATGTCATGGACTTGGAAGTAGAAACCATAGGGGGCTCTCGTGGCCTAGAGGTTAAGATGTTCGCCTCTCATTCAAAGGTCCCGGGTTCGAATCCGGGTAGTGCCAGAAAGATTTTCTTCTCTAAAATTGTCTCCTTTCTCCTCCTTTCCTGCTCTCTAGCTATGTTCTGTTGTCTGCATTCGTCTCCAGTTTCTGCCCTCACCTCCTTTGCCCCCTCCTCTCAGTTTCTTACTCTTTCTGTAGCCTTTCTACTGCTACTCCTTGGCTGTTTACTGCTGTCTTTCAGCCACACCCCTGATCTTCTGATACGATTGATTTACACTTGGCCTCCTCGGACAAGGGCGAAAAATCTTTGAGGTCCCGTGTGCAAGTTGCGCACATTAAAGTGCAAAATTCAAAATTTCCTACCAACTGAAAATGTTTAGTGTGTCCTGCACACTCATATGACCTTATGCAGTTGCGAGCACCGTAAAACACTTACAATAAAAAAAAAAAGTAGAAGCCATAGTGAAAATATCTCTGTTTACATTTCTTCTCTCCAGGCTGAGGAGGAGGGTCTGATCACTATCTCCGTCAAGATGGACGAAGAGGAGGAGCAGGGGGGCACCATCTCCACCTATTTCGAGGAGATTCGCCAACTGTACTACAGGGTCAGTTAAATTAATTATGTGTCCGTCTGTCATGTCTGTGTGTCTGTCTGCTTGTTGATCTGTACTCCTGCTCTACCTGCCTGTCCTGGTGGTTGGAGGTTGTCACAGGGAGACCATACTTTTTTATTCCTTTTCTGTTTGAGTATATTTTGCTTTTCCCCCCAAAAGTGACAGTGATTGTGTATATGTGGTTCTCTTTATTCGCGCGCTCATATGACCTTAGCAGTTGCGAGCGCCGTAAAACCTTATACTATACTATACTCTCTTTATTCAAACTAAATCTCACCCCCTGTTCTTCCTTTTGCGTGGGTGGTTGGAGGGTGCTCTGGTGTGATTTGCTCCTTTTTTCGTATCGAACGTCTAGTCCTTTTCTCTCCTCCTTTTTTGTGTATGTTACTCTCATTGTAACACCTCTATTTTTCAGCACTTATACGACCTTTTTGGGTTGTAAGTGCTGTCAAACTCTTACTAATACTCTTTTGCCACCCCAGGAATGTTATGTTTTTGCATCAGACAATATGTGATGGCAGCTACCACATACACCACATGCACACACATACGCATGCGCGCGCGCGCACACACACACACACACATACTTTCTCTCTCTCACTCTCATGTCTATCATTGGCTAAGGTTTCTCTTTTTATTTCAGGATGAGTTCAGCCACCTGGTCCAGCAGTGGAACACTCAGCGCTCAGAGGCTCTGAAGCGAGCTCTCTACAAAATCCTTTACCCTCAGATGGAGAAAGAGCTCAGAGCTAAACTGCTGCAAGAGGCCAAAGAGGGGGTCCTCAAGGTGAACCTTTTATAGTTTTTTGGGTTTTTTTTTTGCTTTGTTTTATTTGTTCCATCAGGAGTTGTTAGGTGTAAAATGTAAGAGTGTATAAGTAAGTTAGATGAGGGGATAGTATCTTTTGCACCCCTGTCATACTGTAAAGTGATGTTTTGTCCTTTTCACTGTTGAGGTAGCGTTACCTGCTTGCCTGTTCACAGTACAAGTGGCAGTGAGGTTATGATGTTGTCTTTTTTGTCAGGATTTTAAACAAATTTGTTTAGAATGGCTTTTATAAATCGGGGTTTGTTGTTTTGGGCAGATGCTCTGGTGAGGTTTCCTCCTTCTTTCCTATCTAACATCTGTCGTCCTTAAGTTGCCCGTATCTCTCCTTCTTTTTTGTGTTTATTACTCTCTTGTAACACCTCTAATCTTTGGCACGTATATGACCTAATTGTGTTGCAATAGCAGTAAAACGCTTACTAAAACGAAAACATAAATCTGTGTTTTATTTGCCTCAGGCATGCGCTCGCAAGCTGTACAACTGGCTGAAGGTGGCTCCCTATCAGATGGACCAGCAGCTGGAGGACGAGTTTGACGAGGCCAACAACGAGGACGGCCTCAAAGTGCTCGGCATTGCCTTCTCCACCAGCATGTGAGCCCATAGCATACTTTACCTAGCCCATCCCAACACTGAATAATGATGAGGGGTTTGGAATTTTCCTTTACGAATTTCCCCTCATATTGTTGGCCAGCTGTTTAAGTGCACTAAGCTCAAATCTTTGAAAATTGTGGTACCTGTATTGCAGTTTTTTAAACTCTTTAAACCCCAAGTTTTTTCCACCCTTCCCCGGAGTTTTTTCTTTGGTCACCTAAACCTGGTGCACTATGTCTTATTGTAACCCCAAACCCCAAAATCTTGCTTCCAATTTCTAAACGGCAGAAACAAAGGCTTAGTCATTACTAAAAAACTTGGTTAGGGAATAGTTAGGAAAAACAAGCAAAATCCAACACTAAATGAAAAGAAACAGTTGTCACTTGTATCGGGAAGCATCCGATGGGGAACAGGGTCATTACCGCTGGACGCTCCCAGCTTCTGATGGGGTTTAAAGAGTTAATCTTTGAAAATTGGTTGCTTTTTTTCGAAATTCAAATTCTAAATATTTAAGCAAAATAAAACAAAAGCAAGAATAGATACATAAATGAGATACTATTGTAAAAGGAATGAAACCGTTTTTTTCTCTGTCCTGAAAACTTGTTTTAGAAGCTTCAAACTTTAATTTGAACAGCTGGACGATGATATGGTTTTTTTTTGGTCCACTTTGTGTGTACATTAAGGTAGGGATTCTGTAGAAATAGAATAACAAAAACATCCCCTTGTAGATGATGTTTGGAAGTTTTATCGTCCTTGATGAATATAATTTCATTGCTGGCAACTTTTTGTTTATGTGATATAGTGATGTCTTTTCCAAACATGCTAACAAAGACCTGATAGTGGTGTTTGTTTTGAGCAAGGAGTGTTTTATAGTTGGTCGGAATGTGTAAAGTTTAATTTTTTGGTTTCCTTTGTTAAAATTTTATTCAAATTTCTTTCAAGTGGTCTTATTTGAAGGATGAACATCATTTGTTTTGTTTGAAAAGCATGTTTTGCTATTTTGCTACGCAGCAGTGTTCCTCAATGTAATCCCCTACAATCCAACCCCCTATGATCTCACAGGTCACCATGAAGCCCCAGCTTATTGAGACAATTTTTTTTTGTGGAAGTACTCTAGTTTTGACTTTCAGGAACATCTCACAGACCCCCTTGTAATGGATTCATGCACTGCATTTAGGGAGCCCCTGCAGCAGACAAAAAGAGACTAACAATAAACATTGTAGACATTTTGGTGTCTTGATGTTGGTGTGGGTCACAGGGTTACTTTTAATTAATACAATGTTGTATGACTTTCAGTCTGTTGTCATTTTTGCTCTTTTGTGATGATCATTTATTTAAACATTTTAGGGACACCCCGGCTTTTGGTGCCCTAATCGACGGCGACGCCTCAGTGATGGAATTTATCCGTTTGGAGAATATCACTAAAAGGAAGAATGCGTGGCGAGAGCTGGACAAAAAGGGCAAGGAGAAAGATATTGAGAAGCTGAAGGAGTTTATAGCAGAAAAGAAGCCTCACGTGATTGCAGTCACTTCAGAGTCCAGGTGAGTTTGTTTCTGTGACAGTTGCTATGCACAAGTTTCATGCTTTGTTTTCTTCTCGATCAATACTTGTGAAATTTTTTAAGTTAACGGTCGGTAATGAACTTTACTTATTTTTCTGATCCAGAAACAAACTTTACAACGACAACAATCTCTTTGAAATGTGAGCCGTATTTGCCTAATACGTAACATATTTTAAGACCCGTTCTTTTGACTTTGGTCAGTTATGACTGATTAAAATTGCTTCCTGGACATGTTCTCTTTGAAAACTTAAATTTTAGCCAAAACTGATGTAGTCTGTATGTTTTTGACTCAGTTGATGTGACTGATGATAGTGTGCTGTTGAAGGTTTATCCAATCTTTGAAGCCTTTTAAAATCATCGAGAAGAAAGACAGCAAGTTATTTTTATGTTCAAATATACTACTTGTTGGGTACCATTTTTGAAGCAAAGAGGCTGTAGTCAGCGTGACTTAATACTTACTGATGTTTATGGTCTATGAGCTTCTCTGTAACTCCAAGTGAAATAAAACATTTTGTTGAGTCAATGGAACGGATGTTTTCAGACAAGCTCTGATGATCATCGACGACATCAAAGCCATCATCAGCGAGCTGGAGATGGAGCAGCAGATGCCGGCCATCAACGTGGAGCTGGTGGACAATGAGCTGGCTATGATCTTTGAGAACACCAAACGGGCTGAGGTAAGTGTCGGCTTTTTGAGGCTTTTGTTGTCTCCTGCCTCCATGTCAAGCGCGCAAAATGGGACTGGACAGGTCATGTTTCATTGCTTCAGTTGCTTACTCGGTGCTACAATGCTGCCACTTATACTCATGAAATCCTAGTCTTACTGGGACAATAAACAATTTTAAATTGCCAATATTTCTGTGCTTTATAAGTTTACGAACTGTGCCCATTTACTGGAAAAAAAATTATGCTGTTACTTCATGCCTTCCTTTTCTCAGTTTCAAATACTTTGTTAGGAATGACTTTTTTTTAGCTGAAAAAAAATGATTAAAATGTTCATCAGTGGACTAGGATATATATGTGTGTGTATCTGTCCTGTTTTGTTGCAGACCGAGTTCCGCGAGTACCCAGCCCCTCTGCGTCACGCCATCTCTATTGCCCGCCGGCTTCAAGATCCCCTGCTGGAGTTTGCCCAGCTGTGTAACGGTGAAGAGGATATCTTGTGTATGCGTTACCATACTCTGCAGGTGAGGCCTCCCGCTCTCCTCCCACCCCCTCCTCTTTCTCCCCCTTCCCCCAGTTTTTTTCTATATGAAGGGGAACTGTACATTTCTCTTGGGCCTTTCTCCAAGGCTTTTTTACTCAGACTGTCTCACTCTTCATTTTTACCTCAAGGATAAAAGTTTTCCAGCTAAAGCTGGATGTCTGGCTTTTGAAAGTTTTCCGCCTGCTTGCTTGGTTTTAAATTCCTCAAACACTACCATTTCTTGTCCATGTAAGTCTCTTATTTGATAGAAAAGGTAGAATTGTTCAAATTTTCTCTTTGTTTCCTATATTTCCAATTGTATCTCTCCTCTCCGGCCAACAGGACTCCCTCCCGAAAGAAGAGCTGCTGGAATCTCTGTACCTGGAGTTTGTCAACCGCGTCAACGAAGTGGGTGTAGACATCAACCAGGTGTTGTCTTTCCCCTACACCGCCCCGCTCCTACAGTTTGTCTGTGGTCTCGGACCCCGAAAGTCAGCACAACTCATCAAGGTCAGTTATGGGTTTCTTGTAAGGCTGTCAGTCAATTACAGTACATTTGTAAAAAGACAGGGCATGCAAATAAGTTTTCAGCAAGAAAATAACTCAAGTTGTGTACTACAGGGTTAAATGTTTTAATAGATGGACTTTTTTGTCTTTTCCTTTTTGCTTACTTCAGCTGTCATTTTCTGGCATGTACTTGAGTCATGTTCCTCTGACACATGCCACAAAATATTGACCAATACAGCATTAAGATGTTTTCTGTTGTGACTGAACAGGTCCAACCTCTAGACACAAACCCTCCTCCTCCTACTCAGTGATGATTTAGGGCTTTTGTCTTGTAGGCCTTTTTACTGTTGTTCGTATTTGAAGGAGTGATTGGCCGAGACTTGCTGCTAGTGATTGTTTTCTGGTTTCTGAAGAGAGAGATAAAAGACCTCAGTTTTTGTGGTTGTGGAAATGTGGTTTATAATGGCGTGGACATTCTCTTTCTCCCCGGAGCAGACCCTGAAGCAGAACAACAGCCGTTTGGAGAACCGAACCCAGCTGGTGCAGCTGTGTCACATGGGACCCAAGGTGTTCATCAACTGTGGAGGGTTCATCACAATCGACACAAATCAGCTCGGAGACACGTGAGTTACTATGTATTTTTTCTGTTACAAAATCAAGAGAAGAGGCTATTGTCTAGTCAGTTTCCTGGAAATTATTTTCTAAAGCTGTCTTAGCCGTACCTTGTGTGATCTGATTATGCTTTTAAGGCTAAAGGTGTTTTTGCTGAATTATTTGTTCATGATGAGACAGCTTTCTTTTTTTCCCTGTCTGTAGGAGTACTTAGATTGCACATTTTTAAACACAGCATTTCTTGAAATGTATTTTTTTATTGTGACATAATTTCGAGAGGCCACGGAAGTAATCTACATCCTTTTTTGAACGGACGAAACAAACGTTGACCAAATAGTTTTGTTTTGTTTTATTAAAGTTGTGTAGTGTTTATCTTGCCTGATTCCCTGGATGTCCCATTCTACCATTCTCAGGTCGGAGGTGTTTGTGGACGTGCTGGACGGCTCCCGCGTGCACCCCGAGGCCTACGAGTGGGCGCGTAAGATGGCAGTGGACGCCCTCGAGTACGATGACACGGCGGAGGATGCGAACCCTGCCTCGGCGCTGGAGGAGATTTTGGAGAGTCCCGAGAGGCTGAAAGACCTTGACCTTGACGCCTTCGCTGAGGAGCTGGAGAGACAAGTTTGTTTTATTTTTCCTTTGTTCATAAGTTTGAGCAGGTGACAATAAGGAATTTTCTGAACGGTGTAAATTATATCAAGAGTACTGTATCTGTGGAAATTGATGCTCTCAAACACACTTGGCCTTGTCCTCTTGATTTTATGAGTAGCCTGTGTGTCAAGGCAAAATTGTGGCATGCGTCACATGAAATACCTCTCACTACTTCCTTGTCCTCATAGGGAATCCTTACCTTGGTTTGAAATATCTTATCGAACAGAACATTAAAGCATGCCTCTGTAGTATGTGCACTGTTTTTTAAATTCCGGTTTCTCTATATCCAGGGTTATGGTGACAAGCACATCACATTGTACGACATTCGTGCTGAGCTGAATCACCGCTACAAAGATCTGCGTACTCCGTACCGCTCTCCTTCGCTGGAGGAGCGGTTTAACATGCTGACTAAAGAGACTCCCGAGACTTTTTATGTTGGTTAGTGACATCTTTCGTTGTACTTCTGTAATCAATTGAAGAGACTAGAAAGGACACAGAAGATGGAATATTTTATATAGTTACAAAGAGCCAATACAAGAGTGAATGTGTAGATTGACATTGTTTTTCGGGTCGCATTTCATCTAAAAAATAATGGCTTAAAAAGATCTTTTCTCCTTAGGACTTTCTATGATGACTGAAATATAAAATGAAAACAAAAGAGAAATTTTGAATTGTGACAGCAAAGTTTTTGTCTATTAGTGTCAACTGAATGTCTTTTTGGTAGCAAATACAACTGTAAATTTTTATTGCATTTTCACAAAATCCTAGTGGCATCTATGTCAAACTCATGGTGTATGATTCTGATTATATGTAGACAGGCCCATTGTTTCTCACTTCCACCCTTTAATGTCTTCCCCCAGGCAAGATGGTGCTGGTCCGTGTTACGGGCATCGCGCACAAGCGCCCTCAGGGCGATCAGCTGGACCAGGCCAATCCCGTGAGAGACGAGGTGTCCGGCCTGTGGCAGTGTCCCTTCTGTCACTCCAACCAGTTCCCAGAGCTTAGTGATGTGAGGCTGCTACTTTATTTCTATTTCAAATTATTATTTTAAAATTTGTTTAATGTTTTTGGGTTTTTTTAAATACGGAAGGCAAACCTAATCGGTCATATTTTTAAAGGATCGTGTATCTCAAATATTATTCTACAGATTTTGTTTTTCTTTACAAAGTTTACTCCTACTTATAAACATTGATTTTCATGGGAATCCCCAACTGTAAAATCCTGTGAAGAATGGAGCGTCATTACACGTCTACTTTAAGGAATCAGAGATGACACCTCCAGAAAAAAATTCATAAGTGTTATTTAAAGCTTGTTCTTTTTTCCTTGTGCGTTTCCCAGGTGTGGAGCCATTTTGACGGTGGAAATTGTCCTGGGGCTGCAGTGGGTGTCAAGTGTCGCCTGGACAGCGGGGTCACAGGGTTCATCCACACAAAGAACATCAGCGACAAAATGATCCGGGACCCAGAAGAGCGGGTGCAGGTAGGTCATCGTGGCTGAGCGTAGATGCTACATCAATGTTGAATTGAAACTTTAGTCGTTTTGATGATAAATCGGCTGAGCAAAGAAAGGAGCTAGCCTCCCTCAGCCTGAAATTCCTACAATTACACCACTTGCTGCCAAATGATCAAGTCAAACCTCAAAGAAGACTGGATGAATGATTGGGCTACAGGTACGACAGGAAGGATGATGTATGGCCACCTGAATAAACCACTGGTCAAAGATCCAATCAATGAGTTGAGGAGGGATCAATCCATAATCTTCCTACTTGTACCCCTCTACCAACATCTCAACCGAATTGGAGTAAAGCAGTCTGTTGCCTGCCCTCATGTGACTACCCCTCAGAGACAGTGGAACATCATCTGTTCTTCTGTAGAAAACTAACTGATTTAAGGGGTTGTATTCTTCCCAAGCTACCCCACGCATCTAATTGCCTCTACTCCTCAAGACAACAATTAAAACAGACATGCAGCTATTACCGAATGGCATCATGCAGAAGAGTTAACGCTCAGATGCTACTGGATCGCTAACAACGACAACAGCATGATAAATCGGCGATATACTGCTCGGTGAGGAGTAGGGCAATGACTAAGGTTTGAGACATAACCAAGGTTTCAAAACATTAGGCTGATCAAGCTACACCGATATAGTTGGGTATTTCATGAAGTTGTAGACATTTTATCGCTATTTTTCATATTGCTGACATTTTATAGTTTTATTTCTTTCATGGCGGCTTGTGTCAATAGGGATTTCTTTCAGGTGCTATTGGATATGTGGTGAAAATTTTGTGAGGCTAATGTATTTCCTCTTAAAGAGTTGATTAGTGTATTTGATGATGCTATGCTCTCTTGTTTCAGATTGGAATGACCATCCACTCTCGCATCACCAAAATTGATATTGAACGATTCCAAGTGGAGCTAACCTCCAAGTCGTCAGACCTTTCCGACAAAGATGGGCTCTGGAGGTTTGTATTTAACAGTTAACATATTTTATACAAATGCCCAGTACAAAGTTGTAATGTGTTGTCATGAATGTAGAAGTCAGCCTAAAAGGTCATAGGAACGCAACCACTATTTTGTGTTTTATTAGTAAAAGATGCACTAAATATTCCCTGAGTAGAAGAGAACAAGTCACAATCATTCGCCTGTGAACACAACACATCCCACTGAATTCCTACCTAAATAGGATCCGCAAGGATACCCCACCCGACTGCCAGGGTGAAACAGTATCACACCACCTCTTCACTTTCCCTGCACTTAACGACCTGCGTAGTACCTACCTACCTGCCTCCCCAGACATTGGAAATACTCTATACAGTGACAAAACACAGTTGATAAAAACCTGTAAATTCTTTGCCATATTGACAGACCGAAAGGCTAGAACTCAAGTAGCGGCTGGATCGGAAAAGTAAAGTGTTTTATTCGTAGAGCGTAGGGTTAAAGCAGTGCTGCAAACTGTAAAAAGTATTGATGGAAAGAAGGCTTATATTTTAGATGAAAGTCAGAGCTGAATACATTCACTTCTGTGGGTTGATCCACCAAAGTCGAGCTAATGGTTTTGCACATTTGGTGGTTAATGGGAGTGGTCCAAAAGGACTACCTGTGTAAGATGTAAAGAATATCTGTTGTACTTTCTTGTGGTTAGATACAATTTAGAATTGTGTCTTTTATTGTCCATGTCTCTTCTGCAGGCCACAGAAAGACGTGTATTATGACTACGACCAGGAGAAACTAGACATTGACAAAGAAAATGACAAGAAAAAGCTGCAGGCCAGACAGAGTGAGTTTTACTGTTTGAAGTTTTAAGAATCTATTCAGTGTGCCTGGTCAGGAGAAATAGTTCTGTACTTGTACTTTCCTCCTTGGGGGTGTTTTGTCATTTATTTGTTCCAAGCTAGTTTCTCTAGATATTCTTTCATTCTCTTCTGAATGATTTTTCAGAATTTGTCTTCAGGACATGCTGTGATTTTCGAAAAGGCAAAGAAAACGAAAAAACAACATTATAGCAAAATAATAATGGTATATTGCTTACCTTTTCTTTTTTGGACTTTAACGGCTTAAATTTGTTTTTCTGTTCCTTTGAAGTATGCTGTGTTAGTCTTGTACTAAATACCTGTTTTCAGAACTCTGACAGAAAAGAACAATGACTTTGATGGGGGCAGAGACTTTGTATGTTTGAGGGGAAAAAAGTTATATTTCATTGTCCACCATTATTCCTTTTGCTTTGCGAGTTGTTGGCAGGTACTGGAAGTGGATAATTCTTCCCAGACTTTTTCTCTGGTCATTAAGGGTGTTGATTTGCAGTTTTTCCTTTTTCCTATCCACTTGTAATATCTGCCATTGGCCTGTTGGTTGTCTGGTATGCTCTACTTCTTGTACATTTTCACCAGATTACCAGTATCCATGTTTTTTGTTCCCGGCAGGCTGGCCATTAGCTTATTGATGTACACTCTAAATGTATACTTCGGTCATCATACCTTTTTCTTAACACTGTGTAACCATGGCTGTGTTGACATGCTTCTCTTTTCTCCACTGAACTAAGATAATCCTTGTGGGTGGTTGGTGGATGCTCTGATGTTGTTTTCTCCTCCCTCCCTGTCAAACATTTTTCGTACTTTGTCTCCCCTGTTCCAGCATACATCAAGCGTGTGATTGCCCACCCTTACTTCCACAATGTGAGCTACAAGGAGTGTGAGAAACTTTTGGCAAACATGGACCAGGGTGATGTCATCGTGCGGCCCAGTAGCAAGGTGGGGAACTTCGTTGAGTTTTGGTTGTCTCGTTTTTATTGAAATACTTCACACACACACACACACACACACACACACACACACACACACACACACACACACACACACACACACACACACACTTTCTAAATAGTTTTTTGTTTTTGCTACTTTCAAAATTCTCCCTAGAAAAGATGGAACCAATTTGTTCTTTTGAGTTCTGTTTCTGAATCTGTATGTATGACTAGTTTTTACTTTAATTGTCAATTTCAAATGCTGTGTTATGCAAAGAGATATATCTACCTTGGAACATCTTGGGTCTCCTGTTAAAAAGTGAGGTTTTTCTTCTGTATGCAGGTTACTCACAGTCCAGGCTGTCCCTGCTGTTACTCTAGCTTGAAGAGCTAAATTGTAGAAATTGTTGAATATCAACAGTGTGGTAAATGCACTGTTTTTAATAGAATGTATCTTTATGTTTGAAAACAGGACATTTTATATTATTCATGTTCAGTTGTAACAAAAATTTCTCTCCGGACTCCCCCCCTCCCCTCCAGGGTTCTGACCATTTGACAGCAACGTGGAAAGTGGCCGATGGGATCCTGCAGCATGTGGACATCAGAGAGGAGGGCAAAGAGAACGCTTTCAGCTTGGGTAGATGTCTGTGGATAGGGACAGAGGTGAGAAGGGGCTCTTACAGATGCACACAAACACGTGCGCACACACATATATACACACACATATACACATACTCAAACACACGCAGTTGCTTATTCCTTTGGTATTTAGAATTTTTTTTTTTGCATTTTCTTTTCCCTATGCTTTAAAATGTATTCATTTATTTAAAGATTTTGCGACTTTTTGTGTTGAATACTTGCTGTGCTCAAAAGTTCTGAACATATTAATAATGATTAAAACTCAGAGCTTTAAACCTTATTTTTAAAAAACAACTTTTAAAACTTACCATGCAAAATGTTGTGCTTTTATAAGACTACTATAGAAGATGCTGAAATAAAAGTGCTGTTCAGCTGTTAACCCTTAGAGCCCGGGGAACCCTCTGACCGGTCCGGAACTTTATCGATACGTAGCCCGATAAACCTTTTCATGGTCTGGGGGTCACGTATCGAATTATGGGATGTTTAAAGGCAGTAAAAGCTGGCCAATCAACCCAGAGTTCCTTGCTTGTAAAAGTCGCTTCCCCACATATGGCTGCGTCCGTTACAGCATTGTTTTGTGCTGTGTTGATGGTGTAGAGCGTGTTTTTCAAGTGCCTTTCTTCATCGTTCTGTCATGGATCCAAGTGAGCCTGAGCCAGACCCTTCTAGGCCTAATCGGGTGTGCTAAAAACTATTCACTGTGTGTGATGTGCTAGATGATTTAGAGGATGTGAGATATGCAACTCTGATTAGTTTCTGTGTGGATATTTTGTTATTGTGTGTGACGTATTTGTTGTGACCCAAAGGGTTAATGACTTACTGTATTGATCTGCTTCTCTTTGACTTTAATCATCTCACAAGAGCGAAAACATGCACAATAACCCCCCCCCCCCCCCCCCCCCCCCCGCAGTGCTACTGACTGAAGTGTCTTTAGGCATTCCCAAAGGTGGGACATTAACCATGTTCTTATGCACTGTAAAATTGTGATTGTAAATGGGCTGATTCATCAATGTCATGCGTATAAGTGTGCCTGAACTGCCACAGGGAACTGCTGCTTTTTCTTTCCTAATCCTTACTATTGTCATTTTCCTCTACTTCTTTTGTATGTTTGTCGCACTTTTGTGACCCGCTATTTCTGGGGTGCCTTGATAGTCGAAGCAGACTTTGTGCTGTTGAAGCTATAGAGGTGAGCAGAGTAAGCTTGATTCCCCATTTGGACTTCGCTGTTGACATCCACCCCTTGGCGCTCACATGACCTTACGCAGTTGCGAGCACTGTAAAATCTCTACTAAAACAAACATACATATACAATAAATAACAATAAGGACCAATAATAAATACTTTTACAGAATCACACATGTTTTGGGGTTGCCTTTCAGGAATATGAGGACCTGGATGAAATCATCGCTCGTCACATCCAGCCCATGGCAGCCACGGTACGAGACCTCATGGCCTTCAAGTATTACAGAGACTCGGAAGGAGGGAAGCGGGAGATTCTGGACAAACTACTGGCCGAGGAGAAGAAAAAGACTGGTTTCAGGTAAGCCTGCGCTTTTTTCAGAATGATCACCATTTATATTATATTTGCAAATGTCTAAATGTCTTCCCCATCAACAGATTTTTAGATTATTTACTAAGTGTCGGAGAGAAGATGGATTAGTGTTAAATCTTGACAGAAATTGAGGTGTATGATTCCATCCTATCTCCTTGTTTTAGTAAGCACTTTACGGCACTTGCAACACAATTGGGTCATATAAGTGCCGAAGAGTAGAGGTATTACAAGAGAGTAACAAACATAAAAAAGAAGGAGGGGCGATAAAGACTATAGTTGCTTGTCAGGAAAGAAGTGGCGAACCACACCAGAGCTCCCGCCGACCACCCATATCCCATCTCTTTCAGTCATTTTTTACGCATGAAGAGTGATGTTTCCACAGTGTAGCTAAATGCGTATTTCTCTCCTTTCCACCCAGGATCCCGTATTTAATGAGTGCCTCCCGTCAGTACCCTGGCAAGTTCCTGTTGTCGTACATGCCTCGGAACGTCCCGCGCCACGAGTACGTGTCTGTCACCCCCGATGGCATGCGCTACCGCCTGCAGATGTTCAGCTCCGTCAACTCGCTGATCCGATGGTTTAAGGAGCATTTCCGTGACCCGATTCCAGGTGAGAGACTTTTGAGAATGGTTGCCATTTTAAAAAATACTTTTGGTATTGTCTGCGTCGTCAGGCGCATAGTATGCGTTCTTAACCGCTGAATGGTAGATGAAACTGAATTTTTAAAGGGGGTTTCTTAGGTTGCGAAGGTTTTACGCAGCCGTAAGGAACTAAGTTTCACTGTTATTGGCCCTTTTTGGTTGTCATGGAAAGGCAGTCATCGTGAACTGTTATTTATTTTAAAAAATACAGAGTGAACTCCCAAGCTTTCTCACAATTCCTAGACAGTGGTCATGTTTTGTATTATATACTGGCCCATGCAGCTTCTTCTCCTGTTAAGTTAATGAAGTCGGCCACGTTTCATGTCTTAAGGTTCTCAGTGTCTGTCTGTTTATGTGAGTAGATGGTTGGTGGGTGCTCTGGTGTAGTTTGCTCCTTCTTTCCTATCGAACGTCTATCGTCCTTATATCTCTTCGTTCTTTTCTTTGTATGTTACTCTCTTGTAACACCTTTAATCTTCAGCGCTTATATGACCTTATTGTGTTGCATGGTGCAGTAAAACTCAAACTAAAACTAAACTAAATCTGTGTATGTGTCCTTAGGCACCCCGGCGGGCAGAACTCCAGCCATGTCCACGTACACCACTCCAGGCCAACAGATGCAGAGTAAGTGTTCTTCTTGTTCTTGTTCTTGTGTGCTTTGCCAGACTCCAGCCAATACTGCTGAAAGCTGACAAAAATGCCTTTAAAAAAAAATATGAGGCCTCAATTTTTTTATTTGCTGAATCGAAAGCCTGATCAGTTACCCTATTTGTGTGAAAAAATCAAAGTGAAACTGTGACTAGATTTTTAATAAATTTGAATTCACATTTTGTTACAACTCTATTTTTCGATGGTTACGCTCTCAAAAAATTTCTTTTTCTTAAAAATGCTGTGGGAAAAAAAAAGGTGTTTTGTCAGCTTACGGCAGAATAGATGCAGAGTAAGTGTCTTATTCTTATATGCTTGGCCGCTGACCTGTCGACTGTTTGGGTTATCACTGTATTTGTGTCTGTGTGCGAGTGTGTATTGGTGAATGTGTGTTTGTCTCCTCATTTACAGGAATGTGTCACATGGAGGGGGGGGGGGGGTTGCATTTTTTTTTACAACTCAACTGCTCAACTGTCATTTGCATAATTTTATGAGATGTCTATCATTCGTGTGTCGTTAAAGTTAGGTTAAACTGGTAAGTATATTGAAAAATGACACGTTAAGTTCTCATTCATGATACATGCTGGTGAAAAAGGAGTTGTGATATTTTTGTGATTGGCTGGCTTTTCAACCGAATGATTTACCTTTGAGCTGAATATGGCCAAGTAAAGGAAGGGAGTACATTTGTTTTAAATGCCAAAATGATCTGGTAGGGGAGGATGGGTTACCAACTTTTCTTATACACATGTTTATGTTACACCTGTCCAGTAATTTTAAAACATGATATTTGTATTTAATTGTAATGTGCATTGAGCATTTTAAAATAAAAATATGGAAATGGTCAGCATAAATATTATTTATTATTATTATTGTTATAATGATATTATTATTATTATTATAATTAATATTATTATTATCATCGTCATTATTGTTGTTATCATTATTTTTATTGTTGTTATCATTATCATAATAATTATTATTATTATGTTTCTCCTTTCTCCCCCAGCCCCTGGCAGAACCCCAGTGGGTCGCACACCGATGGGAATGTCCAGCGGCATGTACGGTCACCACAGTACCACACCGCGCGGTGCACCCTCGGCCACACCGCAGATGGGTGGACGGTCGGCGTATGGGGGTTTTGGCTCCAGCATGCCGTATCAGGTACGGAGCTCGAGATAGACTTAGTGCTTCTTGATTTAGTGAATGCTTTATCTTCGGATAAAATAAAAGAGTAAGAAAAAAAGAAACTGGACTGGAGAAATGGTAGGCAGGCATACAGGAGTTTTGGCTCCAACATACCGTATCCAGTACGAAATGTGATGCATTTACCCACTGACTGCCCAGTCGGAGATTGTTTACGATTTTTTTGTTAGGATTGGGAGTGAAAGGGTCAACTTGATGGATAGACATTTCGTTTGTGGTTTAATTGTAGGCCGTTGCTTCTTTTTTTTTTTTAGAGTGACTGTAAATGTGTGCATGATCTTATTAATTGAAACCAAATTTCTGTCGGTAGTAGAATTCAATTACATAGTGGAAAGTTCCAGTAGAGATTGTTTTGTGATTATATTTCCACAACTTTTTCTGTGATTTTCTTCATGAAAAGTGGCATTTGTTTATTTTCAAACTAAGACCCAAAGAAATCGGAGTAGTTTGAGTCTCATCTAAATGGAAAAATACTAAATTCTCCCCCCTCCCCCCCAATCACTATCGTGGATGGTTAGAGGGTGCTTTGATGTGGTTTGGTCCCTCTTTCCTATCAAACATCTGTTGTCCTTCTTTCTTTCCTTTTCTTTAAAAAAAATTAGAATTTTTAAATATTTGTTACTTGTAATACCTCTAACTTTTAGCACTTTTGTGACCTAATTGTGTTGAATGTGCTGTGATACTCTTTCTAAAACGAACATCCGCTCCAAATAATTTTTTTTTTTTTTTAGCTCATTACGCACTTTTATTATGTAGGTAAATAAGCTAATTTTTCCCCTCTTCATTCTGCACAGCCTGGAGTGACGCCAATGATGAACTCCATGATGACACCGTCGTCCTCCTACCAGCAGTCTGGCACCGGTCACATGACCACGCCGGGCGCCAGCGGACAAATGGGAACAGCCACGCCCTCTTACCAACCGACCCCACGCAGCATGGGAGGACAGGGCGCCCCATGGCCCGGTGCTACGCCTCGCACCCCAGCCTCGCGCACGCCCCGCATGGGCCAGCAGACTCCATCCGGCCACCACCACCACCATCAACAGCAGCAGCGCACGCCCAGGCAGAGCAGCGGTCCGACCACTTCCAGTGGAGATATGGACTGGGCTCGGGCTGCGGAACTCTGGGCCAACAGGAAGAAGAACAAGTCTCCGCGAGCTTCCCCACGGCCGTCGCCTCTCCCCAGTCCGGCCCGCAGGGGTCTCGAATCTCCTTTCACGACGGGGAGTAACGCGGGGGGCGCTTCACCGCAAGGTGACGGCACTCCGCTCATTGATGAGAGGTAGCCAGAGGGACGGATGCTCTCTGGCAGTATCTCAATGCTTGTTTACTTGTACATAAAGGGGCGAAAGAAAAAGTCCACTGGACTTGTGTGACTGACTGCCTTGAACTCTGCTTTGTATGGTAGGGGCCGAGTCTCTGGCTTGCATTCCTATGTATGGACATCGAGTTCCAATGAACCTTTTTCACTGGAGCATTCATGATACGAACGTTGGAATGACACAAAAGTCTGTAATAGTGAAGAGACAAACAGTTATTTCTAGCTCATCCAAACTTCACATGTGTTATATTTGTTTTAATTGATCTGGAATTAGTGTGGAAGTGATTCTTTGATTTAATATAACAGTGAGGTTAAGTGTGAATGCTAGTCTGAACTTCTAACTAGCTAGCACCAGATAGGATGTATAGGTGTCTGTTCATATCTGGAACAGAACTTGTTCATGAGCAGTAGACCGTCTGTGTGATCGTATGAGGCTGCTGAGTGTAAGTGTAAGGGTTGAGCAATTTGTATGTTATGATTGATGCTTTTGTTTGAATTGGAATTCAAGGTCAAGAAGTGTTTGCGAAGCATACGGAAAGATGCTATGGGATAAGAATGAAATTTTTGTTCTTGACCTTGTGTACTGTTTCGTTTTGTTTTGTGAAGGAGACTTGTTTTCTTAAAGTGGTTACGTACAACAGACCTACAGTGACTTAGGTCATAGGATTCATTGCAATACTGATACTTTCTGTATTTTGGTTCAAAATATAAGAATTTGTTTGTAGCATTTTATGTGCTGGAAAAAATTGATGTTGGTGAACATATTTCTTTTCGCTAAAGGAGAAATGTGTGGGATAAAGAGGAGTGGTTCTTCACTGGCTGTGGTTTGTCCATTGTTTAAGACCAGACATTTTGGTGCAGTTTTCTTTCAGAGCAAGTGTATTATCAGCTGCTGAAATGCCACGGCGTGTTAGGTCTGTGCTCTTTTGTGGTTGATGAGTGCTCGCACCTTCTACTTCTACTTCTTTTTGCACCCTGCGAGACGGTGCTACTGACTGAAGTGTCTTTAGGCAATTCCTCCGAGGGGGGATATTATTATGTTCTTGTGCTCAGTAGAATTGTAAATGGTGTGATTCGCCAATGACATGCTCTTAACTGTGCCTAAACTGCAACGGGGAACTGCTGCTTTTTCTTAATCCTTACTATCGTCATTTTCCTCTACTTCTTCTGTATGTTTGTCACACTCTTGTTACCCACTATTTCCGGGATGCCTTGATAGTCGAAGCAAACTTTGTGCTGTTTAAGCTGTAGAGATGAGCAGAGTAGGTCTGATTCCCTGTATGGGCTTCTCTGTTGACTTCCACCCCTTGGCGCTCATATGACCTTATGCAGTTGCGAGCGCCGTGAAAACTCTACTAAACTACTAAACTTCTTTTTGTGTGCTTCTTTTGTCTTCATCTGTCCCTGGTGAAATGTTGCCGTTGTCATGGAGACTGGCAATGTATTGCGATTCATGCCCCCTGCCCTTAGAGTTAGAGTTAGACTAGCACCAGCTGGGGACATTGTTTTACGAGGTTTTGTCCCAACAAGTTTAAAACTGTCGGCTGTCGGGGATAGTCAGAAAAACCTTAGCTTTTTTTTTTGTTTTTTTTTGGTACAAAGGCCAACGACTGTGGAAATGATATGCTACTAAAGATGAGAGTTGAGAGAAGGGCATAGGTACTCTCCCTTTCTCTTCACTTTGTGGAGGGGAAAATCGTTCTCGTATGAATTTCAACATTGCTTTTTCTGTTCATGTTTGCCTTTCTGAATGACAAAAGGGAATGGAAAAAAACCTTTCTGTTCCTGTATTGTTTGGGAAAATCTAAAGGCATGCGACTTGGCTTTTTGTTCCAATGGCGGAGCAGAGGAGCATGCTCTGAGATATAAAATTTTCATTCTTACTGCATTCTCATTGCTGTATGTTGCTGTACAGGCTGTTTGTATCTTTGTTGTTCTCTTGTGATGGACTTGACTGGATGGATAACAACATAACAACTCTTTGTGTTTGACAGAGGTACAGTTGAAGTGCAGTTCCAGATGGGTTTCCTTTATTGCATCTCTACTACAGAGTAGAGCCTCCTCTCCTTTGCATGTCATCAAGTCTGTGTGTCATACCAGTACCAACGTTCATTCCAGAGGTGTCCTTCAGTTAATATTGTGCCAAAAAAATGTGTCTTCATGTATCCTCATTTTCACATCTCCTGAAATGTGTGCACACAAAGATGGAAATTGGCCTGGATACCCACTTTTTGGAATTGTCCTAAGTCTTCTAATGCTTCAGTTTCACTATGGTGAAAATAGGTTGCCTTACTTTTGTATGACCAGAAATTTTTTTCCATGCAGCTTTTGAAAAAGGTATCTGTTATCTAGCCTTGAATTTAAATGCTGTATTTTCAGGACACTGTCAAATTATTTGTTGGTCAAATCAAATGTAAAAATGCAGAATCTTATTTGTGACAAAATATCTTCAGACTCGACTTCAACGCAGCTGTGTAAATCGTTTGACACTCACTGATCGGAACCCTCTCTCCTAAAGCACACTGACCCTGATGAACTGTTAGTGTATTATGTCTGTCATGAGTATTGTTACCATGCTGCTTTTTACTGCTTTTGGACTTGTAAATATACTGTGAAACAATAAAGCAGTTGCATGTAAATGTACTGTTGTTCTGATATTGATTATTTTTTTGTTTTATTTTGTGGAGTAAAGTGGAATATATGAGGACTTTTCGTGGTCTAGAGGTTAAGTTAAGGTATATGCCTCTCATTTAATAGGTCCCAGGTTGGAAACCTGACAGCGATGGAAAATTTTCTACTCTAAAATTTTCTTCTTTCACCTCCTCTCCTGCTCTCTAGCCATGTTCTGCCATCTGCTTTCGTCTCCAATTTCTGCCCCTATGCCTCCTCCTTTGGGCTCCTGACTCTGCAGCCTTTCTATTGCTACTCTGTGGCTCCTACTTACTGCTGTCTTTCAGCTGCACCCCTGATCTTGGTGTAGATAAGGTCAAACACCTAGCCTTCTCGGACAAAGGCGAAATATCTCGAAGGTCCGGTGTGCAAGTTCTGCACTTTACAGATCCCTTGGTGGTCCAAAATAAATAAGAGAAGGCTTCCGCCACCAACCGAGCAAAGCTGAAAATAAATTCTTACCAAACTGAAAATTTTTAATGTGTCCTGTGCGCTCATCTCATCTGACCGTATGCAGTTGTGAGGGTCGAAAACAACCCCCCATCCCCCCAGTGGAATATCATCAGCCTGTTGATTTTTTTGGTTGAAATTACCCTTTTGCTTCCCATTTTGTCCCAGTGTGGTGTGAAATTTTCCCCAGTGAAATAGGGCAGTATTATCAATAGGTTTTATTTCCATTTATTTCCAGGTGATTTCATTTGATAAAGTAAGAATGATTTCTGTCTAAAGAAAAAAAAATGGTTCTGCTGATGATGAAACCAAAGTGATTCTCGTTTCCCCGTTTCCTGAGATGTCTACTGTAGTAGTTGCATGTATAAGTTCGCAGGGAGGACCAGATAAATGCAGTGCTTCTTAATTTAGTGAATGATTTATCTTTATAGGGTAAAATAAGAGTAAGAAAGAAAGCTGGACTGAAAAATGGTGTTGACCACCTGTCTCATTAAAGTGTCCAGTTTGATTTTTGGCAAGAGGTGAAATAACTTGCTACATACGCTCACACAGAAGTGGCAGCAGTTGTGTCACAGTCACTCCTTTATTGTTTTTTTTTGGTCGAGTTTTTACAGCGCTCGCAACTGCATAAGGTCATATGAGTGCCAAGGGGTGGGTGTCAACAGAGAAGTCCATACAGGGAATCAGGCTTAATCTGCTCATCTCTCTAGCTTCAACAGCACAAAGTCTGCTTCGACTATCAAGGCACCCCAGAAATAGCCTGTCCCAAGAGAGTGACAAACATACAAAGGAAGTAGAGGAAAATGACGATAGTAAGGATTAGGAAAGAAAAAGCAACAGTTCGCCGTATGCAGTTCAGGTACAGTTAGGAGCATAACAAAAAAGAATCAGCCCGTTTACAATTCTACTAAGCATAAGAACAGGTTAATGTCCCCCCTTCTAAAACTGCACAGTCACAGCTGCCTGATAGGAGGACAACAGGCTTGTGTGGAACAGCACAAGGATGAAACAACTTGTGGAATTGTGGCTATGAAGAAACAATTCATTCCAGTAACCCCAACCACCACTTAACTGTAACATGGGATGAAAATATCCCAACAAAATTAAGACTTTTGCTCATGTAAGAAATAAGCAGCAATTTTAAGTTAAGTTTTAGTTTTAGTAAGCGTTTTACTGCACTTGCAACACAAAAAGGTCAGATAAAAGTACTGAAGATTGAAGGTGTTCAAGAGAGTAGCAAACACAAAAAAGAAGGGGGAGATAAGGATGATAGATGCTAGATAGAAAGAATGAGCAAACCACACAAGAAAAGCCGCTAACCATCCACAACAATTTCAAGGAACCTCTACTAAAGCGAGAGAAAAACAACTTTCATTATTTTCATAATTCAAGTCATTTATTCCATATTCAGCCACACAAACAAAAGCTGAAACCAATTACAATTTTTCTTTGTTTCAAACACTTGAGGAGGATAATTACTTTACACAGCCGGTATCACCATTCTTCGACATAAAGAAACAAAACGTCAAGACGTGGAAGTTGTATCGTCAGACAACTACTTTGACATTTAAAAAAAGCCAGAATCAGAGGCAGGGTGAATCATAAAGTACACACACAAAGTATACAAAGAAATCTTCACATACATACATACAAGCACTTGATGATGAAGCATTGTTTACAGCACGGTATATTTTGGCACAAGCTACAAATGTGATCTGCCGATTTATACTTACAAACAGCAAATTAAAAAAAAAAATCTGTAAGAACATTGCTACACATGACTGTTGATAATATTATGGCAAAGTTAGGTGGGGAGGCGTTCACATTCTCGTAGCATTTATTTCACCTTCAACAATACATTGATCAAATCATCTCACGTAACACACCCAATGAAAGAAGGGAAAACTCAGTTTGAAAAACACAAAAATGCTTTTAATCAATGTACAAATAAAAAAGTTATATGTTGTATTTTACATTCCAGCATGCAACATTTACCGTAAAAAAAAGTAAAGAGCATTTCGCTCCTGTGATGCTGCTCTGAAGGAATACTGCATTAGACAAGGAATTATGTTGCATGCTATTTTTGCTACTTCCCTAGTGAGTCTACTCGAGACTACTGTGGTGAGCCCATTAAATAAATAAAGAAAAGCAAGATCAACAACACAGTTTCCTATCAAAAGTGAAAAGCTGGAATCATTTCTCCTTTCTAATTTTCAAAACTCTGGATTACATTTAGACAACAAAAAAAATTCT